AGGGGGAGTTGAAATGGTTCGCGACTGGGAGGTGCAGTTGTTTATCGCGAACCGAGCGTAGGTGTTCTGCAAAGCGGTCCCCGAGTCTCTGCTTGGTTTCCCCGATGTAGAGGAGGCCACAACGGGTACAAGTAGATGGGGTTTTCCAACAATCAACAATGGTTTCATGGTCATCATTGGATCCTTAATTCCAAATTCTTTTTTGAATTCAAATTCCACCATCTGCCAGGGCAAGATGTGAACCCAGGTCCCCAGAACATTAGAGACAAGAAGGTGCAGGGCTGGATGAACGCAGCAGGCCAAGCAGCATCATAGGAGCAGAAAGGCTGATGTTTCGGGCCTAGGCCCTTCATCAGAAATGGTCTAGGCCCGAAACGTCAGCCTTTTTGCTCCTATGATGCTGCTTGGCCTGCTGTGTTCATCCAGCCCTGCACCTTGTTGTCTCGGATTCTCCTGCATCTGCAGTTCCTACTATCTCCCCAGAACATTAGCTGAGTTCTGGATTAATAGTCTTATAATAATACTACCAGGCCATGATTTCCCACTTGCACCTAGATGACCAAGAGCTGCAAATACATAGGAATACCACACCCTGCAAATTCCCCTCCAAGCCACCCACTGTCCTGTCTTGGAAATATATTGCCATTCTTTCAATGTCATGGGGTCAAAATCTTGGAATTCTCTCCCTATTGGCATTGTGGGTCAAATCACAACACACAGACTGCAGCTCACCACCACCTTCTCAAGGGTAATTACAGACGGGCAGTAAAAGCCATCTTTTCCATTGACACTCAATAAAGAATGAATAAAGGTTATAATGCCCAGGCCATAAAAAGTTTGATACAACATCACCATCTAGTGGCACAATTTAATAAACATAGCTAGATCACAAATCTTCAATATAAATTACAAGCCTTTTGGTGCAACTCATCCCAATTGGTGATTACTCTGGATGTGAATAACTTATTTTCATCACATTAACCTCATCATGATCCTAACCCTTCATCTAACTCTCCCATAGATCCTTCTCAAAATCTACCGTTTGGTCACCTGTCCTAATTCTTCATTATGTAATTCAATAATGATTTTTTTTTTGTGATTACACTCCTGTTTAATACCTTGGACATTTCACTATGTTAAAGGTGCTATATGAACACAAGGGATGAGAGTGGAGTCCAGAATTAGTTACACTGTGCTCTTTATGCAATCTCCAGTAATGAATTAAAATCTCAGATAAAAGAAAAGTACTGCGGATGCTGAAATTCAGGACAAAAGTTGCTGGAGAAACTCAGAAGTCTGGCAGCCATGTGTGGAGTGAAAAATAGAGTTAACGTTTCAAGTCCAGTAACTCTTTTCGGAACTGAAGAGTTCAGGCTCCAAAGAATTGTGTTGGACTCAGAATGTTAACTGTGTTTCTCTCTCCACATGTGCTGCCACTCCTGCTGAATTTCTCCAGCCAAAAACCTTCTTGTTATTTCTGCTAATGAGATTAAAGTCTGTTGCTAAATGCAGTCCCCACCTACTGTTAAAGCCTCTTCTGTCTGATCCTGAAAGAAAAACTGAGGGATTCAGTGTGGAAGATGATTCCATACTGAGGAAGATGTTCAGTAACAGACACAGCTAAGAGTTCAGAAATCTCAGTGTGTATGTGTGCTCACAGGTAGCAGAACAGCAAGGTATAAATGCTGGAGTAAAATGCTTGAATTAAACCATCAAATGATTCATTGGTGATGCAGCTCTGAGATGAGCTAATGGAGAAAAAAATCCAGAGTAATAAGTGATGAACAAAATAACAATTGCAAAGAAGTAACACCAGCCAAATCTCACATTTTGCAACACTTCATTCTGCGATCTCTCAGCCCTCCAGCTTTTTACAGAAATATCTCTATTTCGCCTTTTTCTCCAATGTATTACTGGGCAGGTGCTGCACTATCAGGAGGATCATCTTTTAGACGAGACATTGGATTGAGGTTCTATCTCTCTATTTTGAAGTAGATCAGGTGGTTCCCAACCCCATCCCATCTACTTTGACACATAATTAACCCAGATTATTTTGTTATTTTCATTCTAGTGTGGTAGTTTGATGTGTGCAACATGTGATTTTGAGAACAGACACTGCACTTCAAAAGTACATCACCGGATCCCACATAATCTATCACCATTACTGCCACAGCTCACCAGCTGCAGACTACCTCAACTGAGCTTCTGCTACATCTAGATGCGACTGTTCCAATATTCTCCTGATCCTTCATAAACTTGAGCTCTTCCAAGACCCTCACTAAGTTCCGTTCATACATCACTTGCATTCACTCTAATGGTTCCTGATCTGGAAACACCTCAAATTTAGAATTCTTGCCTTTATTTTCAAATCTCCTTTTCTGTACCTTCCATCTGTATAACATCCTCAGAGGTCTTTGCACTCCTCCAATCCTGACCTCTTGAGAATCCCCAATTATGATTCCTCCATCATTGGCTAAGCTCTCGAATTCCTCCCATAAACATTTCCACCCCTTGCTCCTCCTTGAAGGCACCTCTTAAAATCTACCAAACTGCTGTGCCTAATATCTCCCCATATGCGGCTGTGATAACTGTGTACATTACCACTTTTACAATTTGGATTTTTCTAAAAATAGAGGTAAACACATTTTGGTTAGTCTTGTGAAGGTGATTATTTTTTAAGGTCAGAAAGTCATTTGAATAGTGATCTAAATACATAACTTCTAAGGTATGCAATTTCAGTAAGCTGCCTAGGTGTTAATCAATGAAATGTTTAAACTGATGAGTTTATGACAGGCACAGTAAATAGATCACAGTGTTGGAGCAGAGGAATCAAATCAGCTCTGCATAATTGTTTTGTAGTTTCCAAGTCAAGAGAGCTTGTATAAAACTCTTAAGACAGTTCAGGCCATCAGAACTGTTGAAGGCTCAAGTCAGCAGACTCTGAAAGGCATTGTAAACTCTTGCCAGGGGTCCAAGGAAAAGTAACTGAGAGAAGTAAGTTTAATAAAGACCTAGAAAGTTGAGGATGGAGTGAGATTTCCATGGAACTGAATTTCCGTTTTGTGTTAAGATATTTGTAACTTTTATACATAGCTTTGCTTCTTTTGTGTAATAACCTTATGCATATAAAAGAACACCTGCAGCTTCACATGAATATGTTTCAATGACTAGCCACCACAGTAACCAACTGTAAAGATTAAACATGATCTATCAAGCCAGGTTTTATTCAGGTATCTGACTTGTCCAGTATTACCATCAAGTGGGATCATAACTTGGCTTCATATAAAATTCTGTATAATGCTTCTGAAAAAGCACTTTGTATTTTGTACATTAAAGTTGCTGTATAAATACAAATTCTTTTACTGCTCACACTGAAGCAATTATTATAGTGAGAAAGAAGTAAGTTTAGGGAAAAAAGATAAAAACAGGAAGATTTGCATTCATACAACATAATATGTACAGTACTCAATTTACACACAGCAAGAACTTTCAAACAGTAAAGTTACAATGATCCAATAATGTACTTTAGTGATGTTGGTTAATGGATAAATATTGCCTAGCACACCAGGCAGAACACGCCGCCAACCACCCCAAACAAACACACACACTCTTCTTCGTATGGCAAAGAGTGGAATCGTTTGAGTTTACCAGGAGGGAGAAGATTGGGCCTTGGTTTAATGTCTTATCTCAGACAGAGCACCACTCCTTCAGCACTGCACTGGAAGTCTCAACTTTGACTTTGAAGTTCATGCTTCTGGTAAGCAACTTTCTCACCATCTTCTGACTCTGAGGAGAATGCTACCCATTAAATCATGACTGCTGTAATACTGGAGGATGTCCTCTGGCATTGCTCATCCGAGCATTTAGATTGAGATGCCTGTGCATCTGTCCCCTAACCATCTAATTTTGCATGAGAATGTGGATGGAGATCTGGAACACCTAAGACTATAGCAGCAAGAAATATAAATAGCACTGACATTTCATGCTACTCTACAACAAAAAGCATCACCTTTTTAACAACGTGAGTGGAATTATCTGTGAGTGGAATTAAATGACTTCCAAATTATGCGATTGGGGTTCTGTGAAGTGTATATCACATTCTGATGATGTTAATGTTGGTTAATACCACACCTAATTGTATACACGCACAAGATTTGCATGCAATTAAATAGGACTTCTTAGATTTTACATTGTTGGCACTTATCTGATTAGAAGAGCGCAAACATCTTTCTCAGCGTTTAATTTATTTTTTAAATGATGTGTTGTCATTTTAATTGCATTGATTAAATTGCCAAGCAGTGAAATTAAATGTGATGAGGCATTAATTAATTACATCTGAACATTCTTTGGAGTGAATTATAATTATGTTAATATCAGTTTTAATTAAATAGTGACAGTTTTTAAATGGCTGCCATTAATAAATCCAGAAAAATATTGTTTGAAAGCGTGTGCTTGCTGACATTTTGAGCTGTGTTCGGTGCAGAGTAGTTTCAAGCAGGCCTCTACAATCAGATAGAGTGCACTGTGTTAGGGCGTATACACTGGGTTACAGACCACTCATAATGGGAGCAGAACAATTCGGCCACCAGGACTATAGTGCGAATGGTCTCTCATTACGAATTCAATGAAAGCAGGACTAGTCTGCCATCAGCTTAAATTCAGTCATATAAGGCTCCACCCAATCTTCGTTCAATAACAGGCTAAAGAACAGGCTCCACTCTGTATAATCTACAAGCTGCTTCCTTATGGAAAACGCAGAGTACTCCTAACGATCAGATCCACGCTGCTGTGCAGTGAGATCGCTGCTCCAGTTCGTTCTGGATCATGTGATAGGGCCATTAACATCACAAGTATATGGAGTTTGAAACACACATACAGCACCAGGTCCATCTCTCCCAGTGATAGTCTGTTACAGGACACTATATATGCCTCCACGGACATCACAGTTGGGTGGACACATTCCATTTATTATCTCAAAAGGACTTGGACAGGAGTAAATCTGAAAACTCATCTCACTGCCAATTTATTTCATAGAAACAAAGGGTTCCATTTCTTTACGAAATGCTCAGAGTTCCCCTCAGAGCAAACTATGAGCTGTCTCTGTACAGTGGAATCCGACTGATGAGACTGTTCTCCAACTTGCAATGCCACATCAAAAGCGATGGCTGTATCCGGAGATCTAAATGTCCAAAACAGAATCTTTTCTTATTCTAAAAGACAAAACACAATTTCAGGAGATACCTCATGACTGTTTTCAACACGTATAGAGAACATGTTCATGCCTGACAGAAGGTGCAGAGTGACATTTTAATAAGTGCATTGGCATCTGGAACGCACTGCATGAAGGGCAATGGAAGCAGATTCAATTGTATCTTTCAGAAGAGAATTAGATAAATATGAGCAAAGGCAAGATTTACAAATTATGAGTAAAGGGAATGGGACTAATTGCCTCCTTCTTTGTAAGAGCTGATACAGGCACAATGGGCTGACTGGCCACCTTCTGTGCTGTACAATTCTTTTAAATTGGTGCAGATGGCAGCATGAACCCAACTGCAATACAATGAGAGATTTGCAAGTTTCCAAGTTTAGTTTTGGCCTGTCACTGGTGACCATGGTCAATTGGAGTTCCTGAATGAGATAATTTACTGCCCTCTAAATTCTCCACCTGGCATTGAGCAGCTGCCCTCAGATGGAGTGCAAGCTGGGGAATTTGTGCCTCCCTGAGCCAAGTTTCCTGCAAGCTGCCAGCCAATTACATACACTGCAGTTTTCACACACACAACTGTATGTGCAAGCAACAATAGGAAAGATGGACGCAGTCACTCACCAAAGTCTCAGGTTAGAAGTCAGCATAGTGCTTCAACCTAGGAAGAGATCAAATCATTTAGGAATTGACTCAAAGAACAGAATATTAGAAATATTTAGAAGTAAACAGAAACTTACTGGACATTTTAAACTAAGATCTTGAGGCCTCTCCTTTCACAATCAGTGAAGTTAAAAAGTTAATTTCACAACAATGGAACATTTAGGAAGTGTGAAGGGACTGGCAATTACAGTACCATTACGATACAGATCAACAACCCTGGGATGTGCACCTTCGATCCTCAGCTGTGTCTTGGTGTGGAACTGCCTCAAAAAGATGAGGAGAAATTCAGCACTGATCAATAGCACTCAAGAAACCACTTGGTCAGATATGGGACAATATCACATTAGTACACCAGGGGCACCCTCCTCGGTTCTGGGGACTGTGAGGAGGGAGCTTTGCTATGATGTGCTAGCCTGACTGAGGTCAGGAAACACAGAATGATGAAAAGGAAAGAAGTTTGTTTAAAAAAAAACTTAGAATGGATTGAACTGCCAACATGCATTACCTTCTGGCAAAGAGTTAATCTGTACATTTTATGACAGAAACCAACAGCATCTCTAGCCCTCGACAAACCGTTGCAAAACCAACTTTTCAAACCACACTCTTCAATTCAGGAACATTGTTAAGGTCACTCTGATCTGTGTTGTTCCAGAGATTCATAGGTTAAGTTGGATTTGAAATAAAGAGAGAGCGAGATAGAGAAAGGTTCTGTGAGAAATAGAGAAAAAAGTAAAAACAGTGAGGGAGATTGCAACAGATAAGTCAGAGGTCTACAGCATGGAAACAGACCCTTCAGACCAACTTGCCCTTGCCCATTCACAATTTAAACTAGTCCCATTTGCCTGCATTTGGTCCATATCCCTCCACACCTATCCCATCCATGTAATTGTCTAAATGTTTCTTCAATGACAAAATTGTCCTCACTTCCACTACTGCCTCTGGCAGTCATTCCAGACATTCACCACTCTCTTTGTGAAAAAATTACCCTTGGACCCTTTTGAATTTCTACCGTCTCATCTTGAGCATATACCCTCTAATTTTAGACTCCCCTACTATGGGGAAAAGCTGTCAGCTATCTACTTTATCTGTGTCTCTCACAATTTTATAGACCTCTGTAAGGTCAGCCCTCAGTTTCCTAGGGTCCAGGGGAAAAAAGTCCCAGCCTATCCAACCTCTCCTTATAACTTAAACCTTCCAGTCCACGTAGCATCCAAGTAAATCTTTCCTGCACTCTTTCTAGTTTAATAATGTCCTTTCTACAGTAGGGTGACCAGAACTGCACGCAGTACTCCAAATGTGGTCTCACCAATATCTTGAATAGGTGCGACAAGACGTCCCAACTCCTATACTCAGTGCTCTGACCATTAAAAGCAAGCATGCTGAAAGCTTTCTTCACCACCCTGTCTACCTGTGACTCCACTTTCATAGAAGCACACAGTGTGGAAACAGGTCATTTGGCCCAACAAGTCCATACCGACCCTCTGAAGAGCATCCCAACCAGATTCATCCCCCTAAACTTGCATCTCCCTTGGCTAATGCACCTAACTTATACATCGCTGAACACTATGGGTAATTTAACATGGCCAATCCACCTAACTTGCACATCTTTGGGCTGTGGGAGGAAACAGAGCGCCCAGCAGAAACCCACACAGACACAGGGAGAATGTTCAAACTCCACACAGACAGTTGACCAAGGCCGGAATCCAACCCACGTCCCTGGCACTGTGAGGCAGCAGTGCTAACCACTGAGCCACCGTGCCCCCAGGAGCTATGAACCTGTACCCCTAGATCTCTTTGTTCTATAACACTCCCCAGGGCCCTATCACTGACATAGTAAGTCCTGCCCTTGTTGCCTTACCAAAATGCAACACCATGCATTTATCTAAATTAAACTCCATCTGCCATTCCTCAGTCCACTGGCCCAACTGATCAAGATCTCGCTGCATTCCCAAATAACCTTCTTCACTGTCCACTATACCACCAATCGTGCTGTCATCCGCAATACTAACCATACCTCTGAAATTCTCATCTAATTCATTTACATAAATGATGAATAACAGTGGACCCAGCATCAATCAACACAGTTTGGAGCTGAAGGAACACAGCAGGAAGCATCAGAGGAACAGGAGAGTCGACAGTTCTGATGAAGGGTCCTGACCTGACCTCTGTGTTGACTCTTACTCCAGCATCTGCAATTCTTGCTATCTCTGACCCAGCACTGATCCCCGTAGCACACCGCTGGTTATGGGCATCCAGTATGATAAACCACCCTCTGTCTTCTACCGTCAAGCCAACTTTGTATCCAATTGGCAAGCTCCCCGTGAGGTTTAACCTTACTCAACAACCTACTATGCTGTACCTTGTCAAAGGCTTGCTAAAGTCCATGCAGACGACATCTACTGCACTGCTCTCATCTACTTTCTTGGTCACCCCTTCAAAAAACTCAACCAAATTCGTGAGACACGATTTCCCGCACACAAAGCCATGCTGATGATCCCAAATGAGACCTTGTCTCTCTACATGCCAGTAGATCCTGTCTCTCAGAATCCCCTCTAACAACCTACCCACCATGGATATTAGGCTCACCAGTCTGTAGTTTCCAGGCATTTCCCTGCAGCCTTTCTTAAATAATGGCACAGCATTAGCCACCCTCCAATCTTCGGCACTCTACCTGTGGCTGTCAATGTTACAAATATCTCCACTAGGGGCCCCACAATTTCATCCACACCCTCCCACAAAGTCCTGGGATACATGAATAATAAAAAAAAATTGTAGACTCAGTGAACAAATTCTAAAGAATGTCTTCTCTCAGTACTGTTATGATGTTCTCCCTAATCAAAAACACAAACCCCCTCCTCTCTTGCCTCCCTTCCTATACTATCTGTACCGTGTTTCTGTAACAGCTATAGCATCCCAGTCCAAGTACCTATCCATGCCCTGAGTTCATCTGCCTTATCTGTCTGGCTCTTGCATTGAAATAAATGCAGTCTAGCCCAAAATTCCCTTGCTTCCTGTCATGCTCTTGCCTGCCCTGTCCAGTACTGAGGTTACCAACACTGCCTTTACTAGTTAACTTGCTCTCTTTGTCTCCCTACTGCTTTGGATCAGCCCCTTGCCAGACAAGTATAAACCCTCCCAAGTGGCTCTACCGAATCTCCCCTCCAGGATATTGGTCTCCCTTCAGTTTAGGTACAAACTGTCTCTCTTGTACAGGTCATTTGTACCCCAGAAGAAATCCAAATGATCCAAGAATCTGAATCCCTGCCCACCACACCAGCTCTCGAGCCACACATTCATCTGCCAAATTGTCCTATTCCTACTCATGCTAACATACGGCACCGGAAGTAGTCCAGGAATTACTACCCTTGAGGTCTTGCATTTTAGCCTTCTGCCTAGCTCGCTATAATCACTCTTCAGGACCTCACCCCTTTTCCTACCTATTATCACTGGTACCAATGTGCACACCAACCTCTGGCTGCTCACCCTCCCCCACAAGAATTTCACACAACCGCTCAAAGACATCCTTCAGCCTGGCAACAGGAAGCAACACACCATCCTGGAGTCTCGATTGTGGCCACAGAAATGCCCGTAGTGCCCCTGACTAGCAAGTCCCCTGCTACTAATGCTCACTTGGACTTTGTGTGATCCTGGTCTACATCAGAGCTAATTGTGGTGCCAGATGGATTGAGATAAAGACAGGAAGGAAGCAGAGTGATATATAGAATTGTAAAACAATGCAGGGATAAAGCAACAGAAAAATGCAGACAGAGACACAGATAAAAGAGACAAAAAAAAAGAGAGAAATGGATGCTGATAGAAAATTAAAAAGACAAAAGGATACGGAAAGAGAAAAAGTGAGTGATAAAAAGAAAGATACAAACCAAAGCTCCTCAAGCAGGAGTGGGGTCAGATTGTGAGGGCACTGAAAATAACCAGAATTCGAACCCTATTTGCTTGATGGTCACTCCAGTTTGCAGCTTATTGCACAAGGACGGAATTCTCAGAGACCGTTGTCAACATATCTGCAGAGACCACCCAAAAGATCAGGCAGCTGTGGGAACCAGGAGCTCAAGAGGAAGCTTATCAATCAGAGTAGATTAACACCCAAGAAGATGACAGAAGCATTAAACTGCAAATTTCCTGCTCCCAAGGAATGCACTTGAATCCATAATGAATGTACAACCCAAAAATCAAATACAAGATGTCCAGATGAACCAGACTTAAATAGCCTCGATCAGTTTTCTGAGCTGTGTGTTAAGCGCACCTGTACAACAAGGCTTTGCCTTGGTTCGTGGCTATGGAAAAGAATCCACTCCTGGGGGAGAAGTCCATTTCCTGTACCAAGCAAATCGTCTTCTTACCAACCAGTGGGAAATTGGAAAATGCCGTGAAGGATGGGATGTGGATCTGCAGAAAAGAATCCAGAATTATTTATGAAAAGAAAACATTGCAGTTTAAATATCAATTAACATCCTGATCAAAACCTCTAAAGGCTTGCAGGAGGTCAGAATCTTCACCAACCTGAATAAAAGGTGAATGCTGCACCCTATCACTACCGTGACAAACTTTCTGGGGTACAGCTGATGCCCCATGGAATTGTGGGAGATCTGGTACACAATGGTAAGTTTTGCTTATTGATGTGGGGTTGAGTGTAACAGGGCCCATCCTTTGTTTAGGAAATTGATACCTCCATAAATCAGTCATGGACTAGTTATGATTTCTTAGGGCATTTTTGTTGACAGCTGCCATTAAATCTCCAGCTCCTTCCCTCAGAGGAGCTTAGTATAATGTTCAGCCGAAAGTGCTTAGTCTCTAGCTCATTCTTTGGTTATTCTTCTTTGCTGGATTTCCTCCTGGTCAGTTCTGTCTTGCTGCTGTTTTATTTGAAGTGAACGTGATACATGTCACACTGGCTGCACCTTCATCAGAAACAATCAAGTGTGAAGGATGTGATAGACCAGACAGTTTTTTTTTGAATTATGAGAAAGATTGTTTCACAATTCCCTGTTTATGCGCCAATGGAGGAGATGAATCCAAGGCCCCTCCAGAATTGTTGTGAGGTGTTATGACCACTCAGATGTGGTTAGCTCCTCTTCCTCTCCACCCACCAGCCACTCACTGTGAGCTCCCACAGCATCTACCCAGCTCAACTGAGGGATGGAGTGCTGAACATAACAACAGTCAGCAATAGGCAACCTCTTCCTCAATAACACCGATTGACCATGAGCTACACAGTTTAAATGTCAAGGCGAAAACACATCTCCCAGGTCATCTGCACATTGGCAGAGAGACCTACAGCACAGAAAAAGGCCCCTCAGTCCACTGTGTCTGTGCAGATCAAAAACAACCAAATGACTGTTCTCATCCCATTTTCCCTTGCATACCTTGGCATCACAAATGCACATCCAAATACTTCTATAAAGATATGAGATATCTTGTCTCTGCCACCGATACAGGCAGTGAGTGGATTCTAAGAAGTATTTAAAGTAACACTACAGCTGCAATTACAAGTTTACCCAAAATGTTCTATTTTCCATCTGATTTATGTTGGCCACACAGATTGTAATTGTGCAACAAATGTTCAGGATCCCAACCAGAGAGACAGCTCCATGATTATCAACGGGGATCACAATGATTCTTGTTTGACTGAAGGCAGACTACCAGAGCTGATTAAAAATGAACTTGTGTGTAAGTCAGTCCCTCATTTCACTGTACTAAGTTAATTGAACATAACATTGAAAGGCTCCATTAATCAAAGAAAATGGAAGAAAAATGCTTAAGCTCAGTGACTTTCTTTTTGTCAGCCTTGTTTGCGTAACAAGGACATGTCACACAGCCACATAAATTCCATTGATGACTGAACTGTCTGGGTGGAACTGAAGCTAGAGTTCCTCATGTGTAACAGATCAGGCTCTGATTTATTGATTGAATAATTTAACAGTACAAAGATAAAGACAAAGAAATTAATTCCTCTAGTACCAGACTCTATGACAAGGGTACATAGTGCCAAAATTACAGAATCACAGAACCATTATGGTACAAAAGGAGGTTATTTGACCCATCGTGCCAGCAGCGGCCCTTCAAGCGAGCATCATTACCTAGTGCCAACCTCCTGCACATTCCCCATACCTTTGCATGTGTTAATGATCTGGGCTTTGCTGTGCAGGGGACAATGTCAAACGGACAGGAACAAGACTAGCCACTTGGCCCTTCAAGCCTGCTCCACCATGCAATAAGATCATGGCTGGTCCGATTTTAACCTCAGCTCTACATTCTTGTCTAACTCCCGATGATCTCGCATCCCTTTGGTAATCAGAAATCTATCTACTTCTGTCTTAAAAGTATTTAAAGATTCTGCATCCACCCCTTTTAAGGAAGGGAATTCCAAAGACTCTCAACCTTCAGAGAAAAATCAGAATCCGGTTCAAAATGAATTAAAAATACCGTCCTCTCCATTGGTCAGAAACGTCACCTACCATCTTGACTGCATCGTCTGTGGACTTAGAGGCAATAGCTAAGATTTCTGTTGTTGGATTAAAGGCCAATGATGTCACTGCGGTAACCAGGTTCCTGATAACTTTCACAGGTTTAGGGTTAGTTTGGTGTAGACAGGTATCTTGGGAATAAACATTCACAATTCCAGAACTGGACCTGTCAGAGAAAGCAATGAAAGAGATCCATTAAGCTGCTTTTTATTGTTAGTTAGGATTAAAGGAAGGACTACATAAAAAGAAAATTACAATCCACTTTCTACTATCTTCATAGTCACGTAATCCTCCAACACTAGAGCTGTTGACTAATCTAACAATCAATCTCTTATCAAGCTTTCTACAACAGATCCAGGGAGGAGGGCAAGGAAAGCACCCAGTGCTGGAGAGATTTGGGAACCCGTTAGTTGATGGACGTGTTTGGATTTTGACACCAGGGGAAGTTATTCAAAGGGTTCCACGGTATGCTCACGAGCTGGCAAGGCTACAGTCTATAAAGATGGCTTCTCCTGCAATGCAGCACTCTCTCAGATCATCCTGGCCACAACCACATTGAATGAGGCGTCTACCTCATTAAAGTGGGAATGGAATTGGTCACAGGGCAAGACAGGCTAAACGCCTGATCCATCTCCTGGGTCCAGAATTGCTCTACAGGTTCACTGTATACCTAATTAAGTTCTTTGGCAAATCCAATCTTATTTTTGACCTCTAAGAACATATTTTCCATGTTTGTTCCATTCAAACTCAGAAATATCAATTCTAATTTACCACAAAATCCAAGTTTTTAAATGTTAATTTAAACTGTACACAAATGATGCAGTTTTTCTAGCAAAGCAAGGCAGTGTGTGCTCAATCTGCATGGGAAAGATGTGGTGAAAAAAGATTGTGCCTGAGTTTCACCATCGAATGTTCACACTGGAAGATCTCCACGAGGATCAAGCACAGCTGAAGGTCACTGACTCTCACTTGACAGTCACATGTCAACCTTAATAAAAGGGTGAGTACTGCAGTTCTCCCAATTGCAAAATCGTGATAAGGGAGTGGAGGTGGCAAGATAGTTGTATTTATCATGGAAACAAAATCAAAGAAAGGCTTATAACTGCAGAGAGTTCAAACATGCAGATTAGAGCCAGCAAAAGAAATATATAGACCCAGCTCTTTGCACAGCATGAGAAGTAGGAAGGGGAAGCTTGCCAGTGCTGCCCAGTATCTTTAATGAGATGTTTGTATTGCTGGTAATACCACTATAAGGACTTAAACCAATAAGCAAGTAAAGGATCCACCATGGATTAAAGGGGGATAACGGAGTTATTTTCTGATCCTGCTGGGGACGCTTAATGTTATATTTTTTGAATGGTTTGTGCCTAGCCTGGGAACAGAACAGAGAGAAATCGGAATCCCTCAACATAAACTGTCACTGCAATACCCAATATTTGAGGTATGCCAAAGCTCAAATAATTCAGTGCTAGAATTCAGAATAAATGTATTTCAATACGTTAAAGAAGACTGAGCACTAAACAATTACTAAGGACATGCAGAAGAAAAAAGTGATGTCCTGGAGTATATAAGGAAGTTAAAGTGAACAGGCACACATAGCCTGGTTCAATCTCCCATGTCCCTATTATGGGATTATAATCATGAGGATCTTTGTTATTGTAATCAGTTGCAACGACCCTCAGTCAAACTCTGGAGAAACTGAATCAGCAGGACAGCCTAAGACCGAACACATGGAGAACACCTTTAAAAACCTTGGAAAGATAAGGACTGACAACTGTGGGAAAGGTTGCACTGCACTTTTGTTCTTTCCTTCAGAAACTGTCAGGACAGCGTGCCACTTACCCACAGGCCACATACTGCCCATTCCGGGAGACAGCAATACACATTCCTCTCAGGCAGCCTTCGTCGATGAATCTGGTCAGACACTTCCTACTCTTCACATCCCAAACATAAACCTCCCCTTCATCTGGAACAATAGCATAAAAGGACGAAGACTGGTTAAAAACTAGAGAATGCACAACCCTGAACTGACCCACCCAGCATGAGCACCAGCTAAAAACAAATGCTGTAACTCAGGGATTCATTACACTTATTCAGGGGCTGGTCAATGGACCAGGTAAACCAGAGCTCTTTTGTTGGTACTCAATAAGCTGGTTGCATTTACAGCGCTCTGTGGAACCTGACACCTCAGACAAGTGAAAGGGGTCTCAAACAAAAAGATATGCAAAATCCAAAGAAAATGGATTCAGCTAGACAACATTCTTGTTTGCCCAATCAATGTTAGGTGAATTTTACTCTTGACATCACACCAAGAATGAGCTGTACACCTGGGAAGAATAGGATACAGGTATATCAGCTGAGAATGAGGTGGTAAGGGATAGGGATTGGGATAAGGTGGTAAGTAATAGAATATAGGGGCAGGAGCAGGTCTTTCAGCCTTAGAGCCTGTTTCACCATTCAATGAGAGCCATAGTTATATTCACTGCACAGTTACAGCACAGCATTCAAAAACTGCAAGAGTTGTGACTGTTATGGATGATGATAAGAAAACGGGGAAGTAGGACTGGTTTCAACATAGACCATTTGTATATCATTTGTATTTCCATTTTCATACGGAAAAACTACCCTCATCTATTCTAATTGCTTAACTGGTAAATGGGTTATGCACTACATTCCCAACACACTTATTTGATCCCCAGCCCATTACCAATCTCGCAGTCTCTGTCCTACACCCTATCCCTACCTTATTACCAAATCCAAAACCACAGTAGAATGTCTGCTTACCAGAGTGTGTGTAGATTGTGCTCCCATCAGGAGAGAAGGTGGCTGCGACTGCCTTTCCATTAATTTTCATACTACCCACCAATTCCTTAGTCTGCCGGAGGAACATTGATAGACAATCTGAATTGGTTGGCATTAAATATTAGGCCATCAAATGAACAAAAGTATTTACTGTCCCATGAAATGTGGAGTAGCAGGTCAGCTCCAAGGGTGAATGTACAGGTTGCAGTGACTCACAAGCAAGAACCAAACCCTGGTCAGTGCCTGGGAGAAAAGGGTAAACTCACTCCTGGTAGGTGGGGAAGGAGATTATAATCGTTTACATCAGTTCATTCACTCCTCCAAGCCTCCCCTCCCCTAGATGGGCAAGGGGAAATCTGTAGGGGTTATTGAGCCCTGACTGTTAGAGAGCTGGAAATATGCATGACCAGCACGAGCAGCTGTGCTCCTGTAGCACGTGATGCCTCTGTAGCCAAGTAGCCTTTCACACAATGCTCTGGTCCACACATGAAAAGTGGCCACTGAGACGAGGTTTTCCACCTTTCCCAGTTGCCAGCATTTGCCCGCCAGGTCTCAGAGCTCTGAGACATACTGACAATTCTGTAGTCCCAAACTCAGCCTCACTCTTCTGGGGAAATGCTTTGTGTCTGCGTGGGAGGGTTAGAGGGAGGGGCTGAATGTCAGTCTTCTGCCTCCCCCACTGACTGATCTAGGAATATAGAAAATAGGAGGATGGGTGGGCCATTCAAGCCTGTTCTGCCATTCCTCATGATCATGGCTGATCATCCAACTCAAAAGCCTTTTCCTGCTTTCCCCCATATTGTTTGATCCCTTTAGCCCCAGCTGCTGTATCCAACTCCATCTTGAAATCATACAATGTTTTTGCATCAACTATTTTCTGTGGCAGAATTCCACAGGCTCACTGCTGGCTGGTTGAAGAAATTTCTCCTTATTTCAGTGAAGCTAGAGTTAGATCATAAGTACAGCACTACAAGGATTTCCCTTTGTGTTATGGACCATAAATGTACAAAGCAGAAAACACCAAAAATCAAGGACAGCAGAAAAACAATTTTTTTTTCTTTATTCATTAATGGGATGAGGGCATTGCTGGCTGGGCAGCATTTATTGCCCATCCCTAATTGCCCAGAGGGCAGTTCAGAGACGACCACGTTGCTGTCGGTCTGGAGTCACATGTAGGCCAGACCAAGTAAGGATGGCAGTTTGCTTCCCTAAATACATTAGTGAACTGGATGGGTTTTTCCAATAATCGACAATGGATTCATGATCATCATCAGATTCATAATTCCAGATATTTTTATTGAACTCAAATTCCACCATTTACCTTAGCGGGATTCGAATCTGGATCCCCAGAACGTTATCCGGGTCTCTGGATTAACAGTCCAGCGATAATACCACTAGGCCACTGTCCTCGTCCTCAGCATTAATACACCTCTGGTAGCCGTTCAGAAATGCATTTGTGCTGGCATGAAAAATTTAAGCTGTGCTAATTCCCAGGCAGCACATATCTGATGTGACAGATGACCTGTAGTTTTCAGATCAAAGTAATAACACTGCAATGTCACCTCAGTAACCATGTGCATAATGAACAAGGCAGTGTTGAAACCTAATTAACTTGTCCTGTCAGCACTGCAGACCATCCCTATGAGTATTCCCAGAGTTACAGGGCGCAATCTCTTCATCCACATTCACATGGTGAACACACACGAACTTTTAACCTTTTTGTGCAGTGCTTGGTAAAAACGATGGCTCAAAAAGCAGAATGTCTCTGTTCACAGGCTCAGCAATCGTACCAATAAAGTCAAAGTACTGCTTGCAACTAACTGATGGACAGTTGGAAGTTCAACTCAGATGGGAAATATCTCAAACTTTAGCCAGAATTCTAAACTTTGCTGAAGAGACAGGTTTTGCAGGCTGTCACTGAAGGGTGGCATTTGTTCGACAAAAATATACAAAATTTCTTTGATTGCAAGTTTATGCTGAGATTCCTATGCTCCTCTAATTCTGTCCTCCCAAGTACCCTCTGATTGGATGGAATCAATCCATCTTGGCTGGGCATTCAGCTGTCTGGACCCTAAGGTCTGGAGTTCTCTCCCTACATTTCTCTGCTTCTTTACTGTTCTTTTGCCCTTGGTGGATTTTCTTAAACATTATCTCTTTGACTAAACTTTCATTGCTTCTTGCAGTTTGGAATCAGATTTTGGGTTCACCAGGGCCACTCAGCTCCTGACCTCGTTACAGCATTGGTTCAAAAATGGACAAAAGAGCTGAATTCCAGAGGTGAGGTGAGAGTGACAGCCCGCAAGGCTGCATTTGACAAAATGTGCATCAAGGCCCCCTTACCCCTGACCCATGGAAACCAACAGTCAGCTATCATCATGGAGGAACTCTACACCAGTCCCATGGAGGGCCTTGGGATATTTTTATTAACTAACTCGTGGGATATGACAGTTCTGCCTCGCTGGTTGCTTAAGAAGGTGGTGGTGATCTGTCTTCTTGAACCGTGAAATCCATGTGCCACATGTAGACCCACAATGCTGCTAGGGACAGAGTTCCAGGATTTTAACTCAGTGACAGTGAAGGAACAGTGATACATTTCCAAGTCAGGATGGTGAGTGGCTTGGAGGGGAACTTGCAGGTGGTGATGTTCTCCTGTAACTGCTGCCTTTGTCCTCCTAGATGGAAGTGGTTGTGGGGGTTGGAAGGTGCTGTCTAAGGACCCTTGGTGAACTTCTGCAGAGCATCTTGTAGATAGTATGCACTGCTGCAAAAGAGGTGGAATGGTGAAAGTGACAGTGGATGCGGTGACAATTAGCTGGTTGCTTTGTCCTGGATGGTGTCAAGCTTTTTGACTATTCTTGGAGCTACACTCATCCAGGCAACTGAATTGTATTCCATCACAGCAGTCCAGATCAGTTTTTGGCCAATGGTAAGCACAGGATGTGAATAGTGTGGGAATCAGCAGAGATAATGATATTGCATGTCAAGGGGCAGTAGATAGATTCTCTCATGTTGGAGACAGTCATTGCCTGGCACTTGACCTGACTATTGTCTAGGTCCTGTTGCATTTGAACACAGACTGCTTCATTTTCTGCGGAGTCACAAATAGCACTGAACATTGTGTAACTGTCAGTGAATGTCCCCATGTCCCATTTCTGACCTTATGATGGAGGGAAGGTCATTGATGAAGCAGCTGAAGATGGTTGGGCCTAGGACATTACCCTGAGGAACTCCTGCAGAGATGTCCTGGAGCTGAGATGACTGACTTCCAACAATCACAACCATCTTTCTTTATGTCATCTTTCTTCATGACCCCAACCAAAAGAGACAGTTCGTCCGTGATGATAGCTGACTGTTGGTTTCCATGGGTCAGGGGGAAGGGGGGGGCCTTGATGCACATTTTGTCAAATGCAGCCTTGATGTCAAGGGCTGTCACTCTCACCTCACCTCTGGAATTCAGCTCTTTTGTCCATTTTTGAACCAATGCTGTAATGAGGTCAGGAGCTGAGTGGCCCTGGTGGAACCCAAACTGGGCATCACTGAGCAGGTGCTGCTCAATAACACTGTTAAATTACACCTTCCATCACCTTACTGATGGTCGAGAGTAGACTGATGGGGCAATAATTGGTCGGGTTGGATTTGTCCTACTTTTTGTGTGTACAGGACATACCTGAGCAATTTTTACACATTCTTGGGAAAATGCCAGCGTTGAATTGAATTGAATTAGGTTTATTGTCTATACATGCTCACATGAGTTGAGTGAAAAGTTTCCAAGTTGTCACTTATGGGGCCATCTTAAGTACAAAAGGTACCCAAGTACAAAATCTTAGTTACAAAGCAGAAAAACATAAGTTAAAAGGTTGAACCTTACAGTCCTTCTTACTAAAAAGTAAAAAAACAAAGAAGCAGAGTTAAAAGTTCAACACCACAGTCCATAAGCATTTCACCTGACAAAGGAGCAGCGTTCTAAAAGCTTGTGATTTCAACTAAACCTGTCGGGACTATAACCTGGTGTCATATGACTTCTGACATAAGCACCCAGCCATGCTGGGCTCACATTCCTCACAAGGGCCTGACCCACACTGGGCTGCCTGCTCTCGCCACCTCACAGGCTGTTCCTGCTCCCATTTTCACAGCCAGTCTCCTTGGGCTGCCGTCTCCCGCTCTCGTCGCGAGTCACCTCGGGCTGCTGTACTGAAACTGTGCAGCAAGTCCTGGAGCACAGGTCAGAGTCGTACAGCATGAAAACAGAACCTTTGGTCCAACTAGTCCACGCCAACCATGTTCCCAAACTAAAATAGTCCCTTCAGTACTATTGTCAAAAAGTTGTAAAGGGCTCATAGCCTTTGCAGTATCCAAAGCCTCCAACCATTTCTTGATATCACTTGAATCAAATTCGTTGCAGTCTGTTATCTTTGATGTTGTGGGAGGCCAAGATGGTTCATCCACTTGGCACAACTGGCTAAAGATTGCAGTGAATGTTTTGGCCTTATCTTCAGCACTGATGTGCTAGACTCCCCCATCATTGAGGATGGGGATATTTGTGGATCCTCCTCCTCCAGTGAGCTGTTTAATTGTCCAACACAATACACGACCGGATGTGGCAGAACTGCAGAGTTTAGATCTGATCCATTGGTTGTGGATTCACTTAGATCTATCTATCACTTGCTGCTTATGCTGTTTAGCACACAGGTAGTCCTGTTTTGAAGGTTCACCTTCATTTTTCAATATGCCTGGTGCTGCTCCTTGCATGGCCTCCTGCACTCTCCATTACACCAGGGTTGACGGTAATGGTAGAGTGGGGGATATGCTGGTCCATGAAGTTGCAGATTGTGTTGGAGTACAATTCTGTTAAAGGCACTACAGAGATGCAACTTGTTATTTTCTGTTGAAGTTAGTGACTAAAATAATGTCACCATAACCAAATTAGTAGTTGGTTAGTGATTTCTATTGGACTCTGGTTTACACAGACCCAGTAGATTACAGAGTTGATCCTTTGTAACTTACCTTCATGGAGAGAAGGTGCAGATACCCTGAGGTCCCAAGGAGCAGCATAAACAAGCCATCTGGTGAAACTTCAAACTCTTTAACTTTCCTTTCCTCCAACCCTACAAACACAAAAATCAAAAACGGTTTCAGAGACAAGAGTATAGCATGAGAATCCAGGAAAAGCAGCCATGCCTGGTATAAAATTGGAGTAAATATTGCAGATGATGGATATCTGAAATACTCAGCAGGTCAGGCAGTACTTGTAGAGAGAACACAGTCAGCATTTCCGTGTGTTTGAAGACCTCTCGGTTTTTCTGTCTCTCTCCACAGATGCTGTCAGACCTGCTGAGGATTCCAGGTTGGCAACTCCTGGGATCTGTTGAAATTTTCTAACATGCCAGGGGAGGAGATAGCCTATCACCCAGCATTATCACTAGACTCTTAATCCAGAGACCCAGGTAATGCTGTCGGTTTGAATCCTGAATTTGAAATTCAATAAAAATCTGGAATTGAAAGTCTAATGATGACCATTGTCGATTGCTGGCAAAAGCCATCTGGTTCACCTGGTCCTCGAGAAGCAAACTGCAGTCCTTACCTGGTCTAGCCTACATGTAATGTGGTTGACTCTCCCTTCTGGGCAATTATGGATGGGCTTTATGTGCTGGCCTAGCAAACTATGCCCACACCTTCTGAATGAATAAAAAAAAGTTACAGATATGTCTTTCTGTCGCTGTGAAACAGAGAAACACTTGAGTGTAACAGGTGGCTGCTGACTAGTCTTGAAATAGTCAGGAAGGTCAGATTCCAGCAATACTCAGGACCCCTGAATTTTTCAAAATACTCTCCAACCTTGATGTACGAGAGCAATTCTTTTACAACAGCAGGTCAGACACTTTCTCCTCTAACACTGTAGCACAAGGCTGATGTGATGCCCCCATTCCACAGAGGCCAGTGTCAAGAAGCTTATCCTCCTTTGTGAAGTGAGCTGATCCAGAAAAAAAAAAAGTGAGATCATGGAAACAGAACTCAGTATTATTCATTTATTCTGCACACAGCCATGCGATGGAATAATGCTGAGAAATAGTTTCTTATTCTTCACATTTCTAATTTAACTTTCTTTTGAAGTTTATTTTTCACTGCAGCCTTCACTGGTTTTCTGTTCTCATCCTCTCCTGCTCCAGAGATCGATTTTTATCTCGCTACACCTCTCTCTTTGGAACTCTCCAAATTCTACTTGATGTTCTGCTGCATTCGCTGCCTTCACATACCTCTTTAAAACTCTTAACACATTTTCTTCAACACCACCCCCACTCCCCAGTTCAATCAATCTTCCCTAGCCATTGCTCAGTTTCCCCTTCTCCTGTGTTTTAAACCCATTCTTCCAGGTAGCAGATTTCTGTAAAAATAAAATCCTCAAGAGTTCAATCGTTAATGCTGGCTTCTGATTGTCAATGTGTCAAAATTCTTGCCAACCGTTCAAGGAGCCTGAATGCTCTGGGAAATATAGTTTTAGAAGTGCAGGAATTCTCACCTCGGACATTGTAGACAGGAATGATTTTCCCAGCCATCATATTGTACATGTAGAACATCTTGTTGTGGATGCCTGTAGCAATAACCTGCTCTCCATCTGCACTGAAGCGAGCTTTGTACACAGGAAACTGCTCCAGGTGAATACTCTGAATCTTGGGGTTTGTCTTTTCATCGACCTGAAGTGGAATGAAAATTGGGTGCTACCGCATCTGAATCAGTCTGGCTCATGGGCCACAAACACTATCAGCGCTCTACGCTTGCACAAAAGGTCACAGGATAAAATGTTTAGTATTAATAATACATTGGCAGGATTGGAAAGCCTACCTGAAAGAGTGAGATGGACTGATCAAGCCCAGCAGTCAGTATTACTTGAGCAGCTGGATGGAACTGGGTTGTTGTTAACTTTGCATTTGATCGTCTGCTGTAGTTGGCATCTTTACAATTCTTTATCTATCAAGAAGCAATAAACTGTGTCAGAACAAAGAAACTAATTTTTCACGCAAGTCATCGTGTTAGTCCCACATTCTCACTTTCAGTGGCATCTTCATTAGGACATGGCCTCATAAGTATGAAGAACTCACTCAAGGAACCAGCCTTCAACACAGTCCATTGAGTTCTGAAATGATGTTACAACAGCCACTTTGCTTTATCACCCAATGGGAGTGATAGATAGTGAATGCCTGATCTACCTGCCCTCAACCAGGAGAGTGAGGCCAGCTGAACTGTCCCTCACTCATCTCCAGGCTGAGCTAAACATTGGTTGAGCATATGCCTCCTTGAGCTCACTTCCATACTACCACACAAGGGGAATCACATGCAGAATGAATGATGACCCACTGACCCATTCTTACAGTTGAAAGGTTGGGAATTCATCACAAATCTTAACAGTATTTTAACTAAAATGAGTTGTCTTTCATAAACAATTCTACCTAGCCAACGTTCCATTAGATTAGAGGCATATTTTGCAAAAGGATGAGACTGTCTGGTTGCAGACAGCACAACTGCAAATCCAAAGGCACAGGGTTATTGACAGTGCAACAGGTTAGACAAAGCAGAGCCAGTGGATGTGATCTATTTTGATTTCTAGAAGGCCTTAGACAAGGTGCTGCACAGGAGGCTGTGAAATAAGATAAGGGCCCATGGTGTTAATGTCAAGGTACTGGCATGGACAGAGGATTGGCTGACTGGCCGAAGGCTGAGAGTGGGGATAAATGGGTCTTTTTCAGAATGGCAGCCAGTGACTATCGGAGTTGCGTAGGGGTCAGTGTTGGGATCGCAACTATTCACGTTAGACATTAATGATCTAGATGAAGGAATTGAGGTTATTGTTGCTATGTTTGCAGATGCAACAAAGATGGGTGGAGGCACAGGAAATGTTGAGGAGGTGGGAGAAGCTGCAGAAGGACTTGGACAGGCTAGGAGAGTGGGCAAAGAAGTGGCAGATGGAATACAATGTGGGAAAGTGTGAGGTTATGCACTTTGATAGGAAGAATAGAGGCATAGAATATTCTCAAAATGGGGAAAGGCTTTGGAAACCTGAAGCACAAAGGTACTTGGGAGTCCTAGTTCAGGATTCATGCAAGGTTAACATGCAAGCTCAGTTGTCAGTTAGAAAGGCAAATGGAATTTTCGCATTCATGGCAACAGGGCTAGAATACAAGAGTAGGCATGTACTGCTGAGGTTGTATAAGGCACTGGTAAGATCACATCTGGAATACTGTCAGCAGTTTTGGGCTCCATATCTAAAGGAGGATGTGCTGATGTTGGAGGGGGTTCAGAGGTGATTTACAAGAATGACCCTGGTGATGAAGTGCTTATCATATGAGAAGCAGCTGAGGATGCTGGGTCTGTATTCGATGGAGTTTAGAAGGATGAGGGGGAAATCTGGTTGAAACTTACAGAATACTGAGGGGCCTGGATAGAGTGAATGTGGAAAAGATGTTTCCACTATTAGGAGAGACTAGGACCAGAGGGCACAGCCTCAGAGTGAAGAGACAACCCTTAGAACTTAGATAAGGAGGAATTTCTTTGGCCAGAGGGTGGTTAATCTGTGGAACTCATTGCCACAGAAGGCAATGGAAGCTTAGTCATTGAGTGTATTTAAGACAGAGATAGATGGATTCTTGATTAGTAAGGAGATGAAAGGTTACAGGGGGAAGGCAAGAGAATGGGGTTGAGAAACATATCATTCATGATCGAATGGCAAAGTACATTCAATAAGCCAAAATGGCCTATATTTGCTCCTATATCTTATGGTATGCCTCAGTGGCAGGATCGCCATCCCCAGATCAGAAGGTTCCATTTTCAGTCAAGAAACCAAGCACAAAGTCCAGACTCTTGCTCTCAATATCAATACTGATTAAATGCTGCACCACCAGAGGGTCAATGCTGAGGGAGCGCCGCACTGCCGGAGGGTCAGTGCTGAGGGAGCGCTGCAACATTGGAGTGCAGTACTCAGGAGCACTGTTGTGTTAGTGGAGCTATCTTTCAGATAAGATGTTAAACTAAGGGTTCATCTGCCTATTCAGCTGAACAGATCAGACAGCACTCTCTGCATTGCAAAGAAAGGTTCCCCATGCCCTGCCATAAACTGATTGGATATTTGTCTCATTTGCTTTCTGAGGTCCTGCTGTGTTCAAATGGACTCTCTCATTTTCCACTACAGTGGCTACAATGCCAAAGTGCTTTGATGCCACTTTGGAACATCCCTACATCATGAAAGATGCCCTAGAGGTGCAACTTATTTCTTTATTAACGGCACCTCAGCCCCTGTTGGGAGATTTACTGGAAAAACATTCCCACTATGCATTTCCTTCCATCCCCAGGCCACACAGTGTGTTTATCTCCAGGCTTCCCTAATGTTACTGTGAAACCAGTCCCAAAATAGCAACCTCTGACTGATGCTCTGGGGATCCAGGTTCAAATCCTGCCACGGCAGATGGTGGAATTTGAATTTGAATAAAATTCTGGAAATAAGTGTCTAATAAATCTATGAATCCATTGTGTAGCAGCCTCCTGGCTGCTAAAACACAGACAGATTGCTAACTTGGCCAAACAGCAAGGGATGCTGGGCACATTGGCCAAGTAAAACTCTTAAGTTAGAAAACGCACATACCAGACAGAATGCAAACCCAGCAGCCAGGTGCTAATAACATGATCACAATATCAGAGACAACAGTTATCCTGGACAGACATACCCCCAGCAACTTATCCACTAAACAAAGGATGGCCCAGACAGAAAGGCACCAAGTCCTCCTACACAAAGAAACAAACACTAACAACCCATCCCAATGATTGACAAAGTTTCAAACTATTAAGCGTGTCCCCCAATTGGCCAGAATAATAGAAAGTTCCAGAAAAACCACCAAAGAGGTCTCTTGGATCTCCTGAAGGCCTTCAGAGACTAGTATGGCAAGAGGCAGAGACCAGCTGACCATAGAGAAAGAGAGAAAGCAGCTTTGCAGACCCAGAGAGAGAGTGACTGTATAAATCTACAAAGGACTACAAGAAACAAGAGTATTGTCAGTTTAAGGGGCCAAATAGGATTAGAGATAGTACTGTTTAGCATTAACAGCTATTGTAACATGTTTCCTAATAAAGTTGTGACTGTTTATATTGATAGTGGCTTGTGTTCACAGTGATTTGACTACTTCAGTATCATGGGATACCTGGGCAAATTCATTCAGCTGGACAGTTGCCTAACTTGTTTTAAGGAGACACTAGACAACAATTGTCAATTGCCTGAAAAGCCTATCTGGTTGATTAATGTCCTTTCGGGAAGGAAACTGTCATCCTTACCTGGTCTGGTCTACATGTGACTCAGACCCAGAGTAATGAATCTGACATTTAAATGCCACCTGGGTATTGAGGGATGGGCAATAAATAGTGGCCTGGCCAGTGACACCCACATCCATGAATGAATGAAAGAAAAAACCTTGCCTGGAGGACTTGTTTAAATAAAGATAATGCTCCTAAAGAATAATAACATTAAAAAGAAGCCATGGGATTAAAGAGGGCAAAGCTGGTGATGAGTCCATGAAGTTTAGGGAACTGTGTGTACGTAGCGATTTGAATAAACAAGAACTGTGCTCGTTAAATCCATGTCTTTAACCCCTGTACCATCACCTGCTCAGAGAGGTTTGGAATCTCAAGAGTCACAACTGGGAGGGTTTGAGCTGCTGCAATGCACGGAGGTGATTGAGGCAGGATACGGTGCACTCTCTGAGCACGGTATTACTGCTCTCAGTAACGTCACGACAGAAAGCTGACAAGTCCAGACAAAGATCTGCTCCACAGGAAGCAAGGGGAAAGCTAGAGGGGCTGTCAAGCTAAGCTGCTCTCACACGCACATAGAGCAGAACAGCTAACAGGCTGCCAGCTGCACTCTGATCTCACAGGCCAGCTCAGGCCGCAGTAACTGCCAGATATCCACCAGTACACACACCATAACCGGCCTGACATCTGATGTGAGACGGTATTGTTTCTATGTCATAAGTCGTGATCTGCAGTGCACTAGCTGTAAAGTGAGGTGGAAGCAAACTGAATAATAACTTTCAAAAAGGAATTAGCTAAATATCTGAAAGGGAAACATGTGCAAGTTTGTTGGGAAATAGAGCTGGCAAAGAGCAGGCACTGACACAATAAGCTGGTTGGTCTCCTTCTGCATTATATAATTCAATTAAACCATTTCTTAAGTGAGGGCCAGCCCCGATTCAAAGCAAAATGCTACTGTTGTGATTATTGCAAACTACCTTCTCTGATTGCCCAGCAGGAATAGGTTAGAGTGAGCTATCAGACCAATCAACTGGCTCAATGGCTTACTGCTCCTACATTGGAATTAAATCCAGAAAAGTGTGAAACAATGCACCTTAGGGGATCTAACAAGCGAAATGATTCCATTATGAATGTTAAGACTCTGGATTTACCAGGATGCTGCCCAGGCCGGAGAATTTGAGCTATGAGGAAAGATTGGATGCGCTGGGGTTGTCATCCTTAAAGCGACAAAGGTTGAGAGGTGACTTGCCAGAGGTGTATAAAATTATGAAAGCCACTGATAGAGTGGATAAGAAGGCAGTTTATTCGATTTGGAGAGAGGTCAATAACCAGAGGATATAAATTTAGCGTAAGAAATGGAAGGCTAAGAGAACAGCTGAGGAGAACCTTTTCCACTCAGAGTTTGGTGGGAGTTTGGAACTCACTGCCTAAAAGGACGGTCGAGACAGAAATTCTTGGAACATTTAAGCAGTATTTAGATATTCAATCAAGATATTTAGGTATTTACTTATGTTGATCTAGCGTCCAGGGTTATAGGCCAAAAGCTGGAAACTGGGATCAGTGTAGTCAGATCATTGTTGATAGCATGAACACAGAGTGCCGAATGGCCTCCCTCTATACGACAGACATCTAAGAGTCTACATTCCTACAACTATGTGTAATGAGGGGTCTTCCTCTTCTGATGTAGCACCTTGGCATGGATCCTATCACAGCCCCACAGAGGGAGAATTTGAAGGTTGGTGATTGTTGGTGAGTATGAGAATGGGACAGCTATTCTGCCCAGAGCTAGAGTTCCTCCATTACAAAGATAATGCTTCATATGGTGCCACAGGTAAGCGAAGCCTCCAATGTTTTCTCCGAACAGCCATTCTGCCAGTGTGAGCTCCAACAATCCTCTCACATTTTCCAGTAGCTGACCACTAAACCAAGACTGGAGGAGCTCACAACAGTCCAGTCCCTCTCTTGCAAGATAACATATCCCCCTTTCCATTGTCCTCCTTATTAAACCCTGACACTGGGTCAGCTGGGACAAAGGCTGCAACCTTTTCTGACCATCTGAGAATTAAGGAGCCAGTAAGGGCTGCACTGTTTTATATCTTCAGCATTCAGGAACAGCCATCGGGTCAATACACAAACAGAAAACGCGTGTATTAACATCCCTTCCCCATCACACATAAACTGATAAACCGGTTGCACTGTGACAATTGCAGCTGTTGATTTAAACATTGTCTCAGTGAGCACGCTCACCTGTAACAAGCCTTTGGGAAGGGACTCAGAGTGTGTCACAAAATTGCCAGTTTTCTGCAACAAATCTTCATCTTCATCGCTTTCTAACGTACCAAATAAAAGAAAGTTCATTATGCAAATACACGGAATACACACAGTAATACACACCTTAACATTTAAGGCAACTGTTTTAAGTGCCAGAGTCATACAGAACAGAAACAGACCTTTCAGTCCAACTTATCCCCGCTAACCACACATCCCAATCTGACCTAGTACTATTTGTCAGCCTTTGGCCCACATCCCTCCAAACTCTTCCTATTTGTATATCCATCCAATGCCTTTTAAATGATGTAATTGTACCCACCTCCACCACTTCTTCTGGCAGCTCATTCCATATACACACCACCCTGCGAGAAATAGATCCCCCCCACCCCGAGTCTCTTTTAAATCTTTCCCCTCTCACCTTAAACCTACGTCCTCTGGTGTTGCAGTCCCCTACCCTGGGAAAAAGACCTTGGCTATTCACCCTATCCATACCCCTCATCATTTTATAAAATTCTTTAAGTTCACCCCTCAGCCTCTTATGTTCCAGGGAGAAAAGCCACAGCTTATTCAGCCTCTTCCTATAGGTCAAACCCGCCAGTTTGGTGAACATCCTTGTAAATCTTTTCTCGACCCTCTCGAGTTTAACAACATCTTTCCTATAGAAGGACAACCAGAATTGTATGCAGTACTCCAAACCTGGCTTCATTAATGTCCTGTACAGCCACAACATGGCATCCCAACTTCTATACTCAATGTTCGAACTAATGAAGGCAAGCTTGCCAAATGCCTTCTTCACTACCCTGTCTACCTGCAACTCCACTTTTAAGGAACTGTGCACCTCCACCCCTTGGCTCAGCAACGCTTCCCAGGGACTCACCATTAACTGTACAAGTCCTATACAAGCTGCTATACAATCACTGAGAAATTGTCTGTTGGACTTGCAACCAATATCTGTCCAGATTATAATGGCTTACCATCCTCCAAATCTTTCTTGTCCTTTCTTCTCTTTTTCACTTTGTTCTCTGCCCAGGATGGTGTTCCACCCATTGCAGCCTGAAACCTGAAGATTAATGTAAATTGGAATTAAACCATTTTAAGACATACAGACATAACCCTCTTTGACAATGTTCCCACACACTTGCAGAAACAACTGCCCATTAACACAGTGAGATCAGATACAGCAGCAAACCAACACATGATGGTACACTGTGCCTCTCACATCACCAACTCTGTCAAAGTGGCAAATCATACCAACAACTTACCATTACACGCTTCACATTTTCACTTCTATCATTGATTAGGAATGATTTCTCTCATTGTGTTGAATTTCCAAACACATTCTACATGATTTCATACGAGAGGTCAATGGAAATCTCTCTAGTTATGCTGAACCATTCCAACACACCCTGCAGCTGGGAGCAGGCCTCTGGCTGAGGTAATATTTGGGGAGTGTCCAAAGAAACTGGGATCATTCTCCACAAACCCAACACTGCCAACTCCACTCTATGCTTTTCTTCCCCCACCTTGGAAACTGCTCCCTATATCAGAGTTGCATTAAGAAGCCCCAGCATGTGAGACCAAGCATTATTCCAGCCTCCAATCTCATGTACTGCAGGTCATAAGGTCACATGTGCAAGACCCACGCCAGGGTGACATTCCCACTGTAGCAGCCCCTCTTGTAGCTCAAAATCAGGGGTGATGAGTTTTAAACCAAGCACTCTCCAGTCTCCAGAGTTGAAGGTAAACTATTTATTCATTGACACTATTCCCGGCATCCTAAGTCCAATATGTATGCTTCGACTGATCCAATAAATACAAATTATCTGATCATTATCACACTATCATTTGTGGGAGCCTGCTGCATGTGGATTAAAAATGGTTTATGATCAGAACAGTGATCACACTGCGTGAAGTGCTTCAATTTCTCTAAGAACTTTGGGGCATTCTGAGGTTGTAAAGGCTATGAGGTTGTATAAGTGCAATTATTTGTGTTAAAATGAGTTTGAGACAAAAGTTTTAATGCATGGTTTCTGACCCCAGTCCCTCAGCAGTTTAACAAATCTCTGAAGAGATCAGTGCCAAGTCTGTTCCAACCTCTCTTGGTGCTCATACACGTACACACTCTGCAGCAACAGTCACTTGGATGATCAGGAGCAGCAAATGCTGTGTTCCTTCCGCTACCTCAGGTGAGAAAAGCTACTTAAACACAGATCAGGGAATCAAGCCAACATTCCATAGATATATTATTAAATGTCAACCAGCTGAACCTCCACAAAAGAATCCATCCCCTGGTACAATGTGACAGCCTTTTAGCTTGACTCAACTCAACTGAAACAGTATGAAAGATCGTGAAGCGAATGAAGAGGCCACTTAAGACAAGCAGCTTGTGTTGGATATTCGAAAGATTCCAATTAGTCTCACTCTCTTCCCAAACATCCTCCGCCTGTGTCCAATGACCCCCTGCCTCTTGACAGTTTTACAAATTCCTCCCTCTCAACTGGATAGGATTTATGAAACAGCATACCATTTTTCAGGGTCACTGTCACAAGTTCACTGCTCACTGATTAAAGCAAAATGCCTGGGACTAGGAAGCAATAAGTCATCAAAAGAAAGAGATATTTGAAAAGACTGTAACTGGTCTGTTAGTACATACTGTTCCCTTAGTCTCTGCTGCAGCTGCCCCATACTAAGAGTCTTCTCCGTGGTGCTTTTCACGAAGTCTTTCCGGAATCGATGAGTCATATCCACACTGCAAAAAGAAAGAAAAAACAAGTCCACTCACAATAAACTGGATTCCATTTATTACATAAAACCAGTGAATTGTGGGAGCAGATATACCATCAGACAGTAAGAGCTTGACTTCTGCTTCACTCTGCAGACCAGCATTCAACAGTACCCCTACAGCCAGCAACACATTCACTTAGAGATCCACTTTCAGATCTCGGATCAAGCCAACATTCCATTTTCACCTTACTACATCTTTACTCATTTTCCCAATCCATGGATCTTATCTCCTGTCCCTTATCTAGCGTTTTGAGTCAATGTTTGTATTTGGTGATAGTGGGAACTGCCGATGCTGGAGAATCTGAGATAACAAGGTGTAGAGCTGGATGAACACAGCAGGCCAAGCAGCATCAGAGGAGCAGGAAAGCTGACATTTCAGGTCTGGACCCTTCTTCAGAAATGGGGGAAGGGAAGGGGGATTCTGAAATAAATAGAGAGGGGAGGAGGCGGATGGAAGATGCTCATTGGAGCAGATAGGTGGAGAGGAGAAAGACAGATCAAAGAGGCGGGGATGGAGCCAGTAAAGGTGAGTGTAGGTGGGGAGTTAGGGAGGAGATAGGTCAGTCCAGGGAGGACGGACAGGTCAAGGAGACGGGATGAGGCTGGTAGGTAGGAGGTGGGGATGGGGCTTGAGGTGGGAGGAATGGATAGGTGGGAGGAAGGACAGGTTAGGGAGGCGGGGACAAGCTGGGCTGGTTTTGGGATGCGATCGGGGGAGGGGAGATTTTGAATCTTGTGAAGTCCACATTGATACCATTGGGCTGCAGGGTTTCCAAGCAAAATATGAGGTGCTGTTCCTGCAGCCTTCGGGTTTGGTGGTGGTTTTCCCTGTGCTCCCTATAATCACGGCCACCCCTTCTTTCACTGGCCCGTTCTGGTATACACGTCACTGTGATTCCAATTTTCAGTTGATGTACTCTGGGAAAAATAGCCTTGTCCTGCATCTCTATATCACTTTGCCCGTATTCAGTCAGCCCTTCACCTGCCATAATCTGGTCCTCACAATTGTCCTCAAATGTCTCTGTGAAGTGCATGGCACCTGATCACTTTTTACGACTTGTTCAGATTCTGTACTTGTGCAATTAGTACCAATTAACCTGGAGGAACACACCTGTTTGGTTGCCATGCTGTAAAATTGTTGTTTCTCCATCACTTACTATTACCTTCCGTCATCTACTACAAACTTTTCCAGACCGTTCTATCTTCCTTACCTTCTCTTCTGTAACATGCAATGTCCCCCCAGTTAAAATTTATTTCCAATGGCCTTATATGATCCTGTAAGACTCGCCAAATTGTCTGAAAACTGAGCCTTAATGGACATTCATGTCAGTGAACACAGAGACCACTAGAAAGCTAACTGTAGTGCCTTCACAAGCTGGGTACAATCACCCAGTACTAAAGTATTCTTAAAATTCTTCCCAAAACCAGTGAATATGGTCTGTGGCCCGCAATCATTTGCAGTGAGTTTTTCAATGGCTTGCACATGCAAAGACTATAATTTAGGTTTTATGAAGCAGAGGAAGGATTCTGGGTAATCCAAGATGGAGTTGTGGCTGTAAGAGCTGCTCCTTTGAGGTATTTTCAGTGTTGGAGTCGATTTCCTCGAATTCTAGGAGCGGTAATTAATGTTTCACAAGCTGTTGCATTGTTTTGGAACTTTTGGAAAAAGAAAGAGATTGGAACAACAGCACTTTAAAAAGGAGGAAGAGAGACAAGGCAGGGACCACGTGGGAGATGAAACAAATGGAGAAATGAACCTGCACAGCTGTCTGACTAGGCAATGAACTTTCACTGCTGACTGCCTCTGCTGTTTATTTCAAGTACCTCTGCACATCGGAGTTCTTCAGAAGGTGGCGTGTGTATGGTAGGAGCTGCCAGAGGAAGTGGTGGAGGCTGGTACAGTTACAACATTTAAAAGGCATCTGAATGGGCATATGAATAGGAAGGGTTTACAGGGATATGGGCCAAATTCTGGCAAATGGGACTAGGTTAGTTTAGAATATTTGGTCAACATGGACATGTTGGACCCAAGGGTCTGTTTCCATGCTGTACAGCTCTATGACTCTATTACTACATGATTTCTTTCAGACACTCTATTACTAAAAAGACTTTCTCGAGTCGTGTACAGTGTATAAACAGGCCCTTCAGCCCACCGTATCTAGGCTGATCAACAAACCTCAAACTACACTAATTCCATTTACCTGCACTTGGTCCACAACTTACCTGACATTTTAAGTGCTCATCCAGATGCTTTTCAAATGTTGCAAGAGTATCTGCCTCCGGCGTGTTGTATATTTCTACCACCCTCTGGGTGCAAAAAATTTCTCTTATTCGCTTTAAACCACCTGATCCTCACCTTAAACCTATGCCCTCACACCACCCGTTCACTACCACCTGTTCTTTTCTTCACACATATCCCTAAATTCATCATTGACAAATTCTCTTCAAACCTCCAATGTCTGTCAGGGGCTCAGCAGATGACCCCCTAGTCCAGTCCCCTTTTCCATTTCTCTATTCCCTTGTCCAATATTACTCTTTTTCCGTAACTATATACTATTGTGCACCGACTAAATCTAATTGGCATGACTACAGGTGCAAGATGAAAATGTTTTCTCCTATACCTCATACCTTCAACTCTACTGCTACAACTTGTTTAAAGTCTCTTACTAATAGGAGGCCTGCTATAAGACATGATGGTGTCCGTCTGCATTTATTACATACACATATTTATTGCTGATTGCTTCTATAAGTTATACATTCTCCACTTTCCTATACCTTCTAGTGAAATTTTGAACCTGTGAAAAGATGGATGGGCAAACTGCCAATATAGTTTTAAGATAATTAGCCTTTTTTTGCCCTTTAAACTCTTGTCTCCTGATGCCAGTAACATCTGTTTAATATTTTGATTAGAGAAGTTAGTTCCCATTAAAGGACTACAATAATGTCTGGACTGTGTAAATTGCAAATTATCCGACAGAGCACAACTGAATGAGTCTGTGACTAAAACACTCATGCACAGATCAGCAGTGAATTGACTGAACGTTGGAACAGGCTTGAATGATTGAATGGCCACCTCCTATTCCAATGTAACTACGTAACCATTATCGAAAACATCAAGAAGGTGCTAACCTTAAAATACTTCTGTGGGGTGTTGGAGAGGAGAAATTAAGAACGGAAATTAAGAATGCAGATATTTGAGCTAAGTCAGCTCCCCTTAACCCAACAGAACAAATCTCACTCACAGATCTTCTGCTTCATCCTCTTCATCCACCCACACAGCTTTCTTGGATACAGGAAGATTGGATTTGGCTTCATTTTCCACTTCAGAGTCACTGGAATCATCGTCCAGCAAAGATTTGCCTAAATTTGTCTGTTGTCCAAGCTGTGCAGACAAAATAGACAAGTTATATAAAGACGCAGTGGTGAATGGCAACAGTATGAACCAAGATTCAGCGTGTCACGATCTGCACTCTCAAGGCTGTATTATGTTTATCTATGATGCTTATTGGAATTTATCGACTTTAGTTCATCCAAAACTCAGCTGCCCACTTCTTGACTCTCACCAAGTCCTATTCCCAACACCCATGCTCACCACCCTATACTGGCTCCCAGTCTAGCAATGCCTCAATTTTCATATCCTCCTGTAGTCTAGCTCCACTCCCTATCTCTAAAATCTCCTCCATTCTGTAAGATATCTGCATCTGCTCTAATACTACTATGCATTAAGGTAATTAATGTAACAATGCCTCTAATTACCTAGGCCCTAGACTTTGGAATTCCCTCCTGAAACCTCTTTTTCCCTTTGGATGGTGCTTAACACATACCTCTTGGATCAAGCGCATGATCACCTGTCTAGCGTCTCCTTATTTTGGCCTGCCACAAAACATGTTTCAGAATGCTGTGAAGTATATTCGGGTGTTTGACTCTATTATAGGTGCTATCTAAATGCAATTCGTGTTAATATACATTAATATAAATAGTGATGGTGCCACACTGGAAACTTTAGGCACAGGCCTTTACCCTGACCTTTTTGCCTTACAACTAAGATATAGAGAGTAAGATACACCTAGGGAGACAGAAAAAATACCTGAAAGACTAGAGAGAGAATTGTAATGAGTGGCATGGAACCCACCTCCACTTAAAAAAAAGTAGAAGAGCAGAAAGCCCTGTCAAACCAACACAAGGTGACATCCCCTCAAACACAGACACATCCTTAAACAGTGCTACCAACAGAGAAAGAATGTGACAATGAGGAACAAGCATAGTCATTCAGCCCCTCTAACCTGCTCTCCTATTCAATAATGATTGTTTATATGATTGTGGCATCAACTCCAAATTGCTGCCTGATAACTCATGACTCCCTTGACATTGGAAAAATCTATCTACCCCTATTTTGTCTTAAACACTTGTTCAACTTCAGCTGAAGTTGAGTGTAGAGACGAGGGCGAGGCATTACCGGAAAGATGTGAAAGCACTAGAGACAGTACACCAGGAATGAGAAACTTCAGCTATGAAGACTTTCATCTAGGGTTGGCCACTGTTCTCCTTGGTGAGAAGAATGCTGAGAGATTTGATCAACGTTTTAAAAATGATATGGAGACAGCAGATTTGGAGAAGTTGTTACCACTCATAAAAAGAACAAGAACGAGAGAGTATAGATGTGAAGTGATTTGCAAAACAAGCAAGTGATCTGCTTCAATAAGATCACCTTTCATTCTCTAAGCTCCAATAAATACAATGACTTTAAGAGCATAGGGTGGTGGATTGGCCGTGCTAAATGGACCACAGTGTCCAGGGATATACAGGGTTACAGCGATACGAAGGTGCAGGGCTGGATGAACACAGCAGGCCAAGCAGCATCAGAGGAGCAGGAAGGCTGACGTTTCGGGTCTGGACCCTTCATCAGAAATGGGATACTCTTCGGAGGGTCGGTGTAGGCTCGATGGGCTGAATGGCCTGTTTCCCCAATGAAGGGATTTTCTGATACTACAACCCGCCCCCGGCCCCGGACCTGCAGCCGCTCCACCAGCGCTTCCTCGCCCCCGAAGAGCAGCTCCTCCAGCCGCCGCTCCACCGCCTCCTCCTTCTCGCTAGCCACCGCCGCCGCCGCCGCCGCTCTGCGCTTCTTGGGCCGGGCCGCCATCCCGCACCGGCTGCCGGTTACACTCTCTGCCTGTCCCCGGAGCAGGAGCGTTAGGAAATGCCGAGGGCAGGGCCTTAGCAACAGCGTGGAGACCGACGGCCAGCACTTCCGGGTGAGAGGGCACCGGGCCGGTCTACAGTTGAGCGGGTGGGGGGGGGATTGCACGGATTGGTCACTGAGACTTACTAAGACACTTGGACAGGTAGCACCAGTCACAGTATGGGTTTTCGCTTGGAGGGTACGAGTTTATTCTTGCTGTCTGTCTGGGTTAATGTTATTGCCGTATCTTTGCAACCCCACCCCCCAAACCTAGGCCGGTAATGGCACAGGCCGGTTTCCGGTTTACTATTTTATAAAAAGGCGGCGCGGTGACGGCGGCGCTCTTTTAGCGACTGGAGCCTGAGGGTGAGAGACCGGGGGGACGTGGGAGGGGAAACCCGGGGGTGGGGGCACCGGCTCTC